ATTACCTAATCACACAGCAGGCCATTAATTCAAGTCCATTTAATCCCAAGGTTGGCAGAGCATGGCAGGCTGCTGCACAATGACACAATTACATGCAGGGTTCAAGGTGCCATAAGCTAGAGACCATTCCCAAAGCTGCTTCTTATATATGGGAAGCAGACCACATACCCAAAGTAGCTACTCAGCTGCTTGTGGTAGATCCCACCATGGAGCTGATTTCCAGTCTCATCATGGGGACTAACTACCACCAGCTGCCCAGCTACTCAACCAGGCCCAGCCAAGTTGACACACAAACACAACCACCACAATAATGTTGGCTTTCTGTAAATCAGGCCACTCTGGCTGTCCATTGAGATTCTGATAGCACTCCCACCCTCAATGATCAATGAAATCCTGACAGCATATGAATAGTAAATTGTATAAATCAATTTAGAAATAAGCGTTTTTGTTTCTGAGTTTTGTCAGTAAAAAGGCAGTCACTGCTCATATTTGGTGGAGTAGCTTTCCACTCGCAGTTTGGTGCTACCTGATTCTTTAATCTTCTGCCTGAATAAACCTCATCTAATAGATTAATTTTATTGTTGACTCAGTTTCTTTGGACAGAGGTATGGAATGGTGACCATGAATTGGTAACTTCACAATCACTATCAAGTGATTCTTATTACTAGCTAGATTCAAGAAACCACAGAGCCCTTAGTGTCTCAGCAATTTTTTTTCATGATGCCCAGGTCAAAGGAAATATAAAAAAATTCCATTTATTAAATACAAGCAAAACATAACACACTCACTGCCATCAAGTCAATTCCAACTCATAGTGACCTCCTCTGAGTTACTGAGGCAGTAAATCTTTACAGTTCTGCAGAGCAGCTAGTGGGTTTGAACCGCCAAACTTTTGGTCAGCAGACAAATGCCTCAGGCACTGTGCCACCAGAGCCAAACAACTTAGCAGTTGTAATTGTCAACATGGTCCAACAGATATCACTCTGTTTCCCTCAAAAGTTAAAATATCCCATAGGGCTTCTATGAGTTCTCAGAGGCATCTCAGTTTACCTCAGCACACACTTTGGAAGCTACAGGGAGAAAATATTTTCCTGGCACAGCATCTAAATAAAATGTCTGAATGGGGCTTCCATAGGAAAATTATGCAGTAAAGTGGACATGTATTCCAAAAACTTCTTTAAATCATTTGTTGCAGCTTTTGTATGGCTGTTATTGCTCTAGAGTAGGAGTAGGAAAATGCTATATCAGTAAAGAGCTGAAGAATAATTATTTTAGGATTTGTGAGCCACATATGGTCTCTGCTGCATATTCTTTTATTATTTCCTTTTATATAACCCTTTATACATGTAAAAACCATTCTGGGATTGGGCTGACCCCTGTTCCAGTTAAAAACCTAGGGTATAACATTAAAGAGCAATTCAGTGAAAATGATTCTGCAAGATCAGAGGCTCTCAGTATCTTCATATCTGATTGTTTATGTTCCTGGAAAGACTATTCAGAGTTGAACATGTATGGGAAGGGTCTATTTGATCTCAAAGGTATTGTAAACAAAGGGTTGTTTGTCCCGGAATTTTCTTGCTCTAAGGCCTTGCTTTACAGAGAAGTGGCAAATTTTCCCAGTTTAAGAAGTTCTGTTAAGTTTTCAAGAAATGGCAACCAGTCATTGAATTAAGTCCATTATCATTTACTCGCTGATTACTATGAATGCTAAAAAGATTCCATGATTTAACTAGTAAGGCAAGACTTGATGTTGTTGTTAGGGGCCACTGAGTGAATTTCAACTCACAGCGACCGCACTTGAGAACAGAACTGCTCCATAGAGTTTTCTAGGCTGTAATCTTCATGGGAGCAGACTGCCACTAAACCAAAAAAAGCCCAAACTCACTGCCGTGGAGTTGATTCTGATGCATAGATCCCCTTTGGGTTTCTGAGGTGGAAGTAGATTGCCTGGTCTTCCTTCTGCAGAGTGGCTGATGGGTTTGAACCACCAACCTTCTGGTTAGCTGTCAAATGCCTACACCACCAGAGCTCCAGCAGAACCACTGGGTGGGTTCAAACCACCAATCTCTTGGCTAGCAGCTTAGTGCTGAAACATTGCACCACCAGGGATCTTAAACCAATACCAGTTGTGGATTCTGACTCATAGTGACCTCATATGCGTTAGTGTATGTGTTAGAGTAGTACTGTTCTCTACAGAGTTTTCAACCGCTAATTTTTTGGAAGTTGATTTTTGGAAGTGGATGCCTTTCTTCTGAGACATTTCTTGGTGGACCAGAATCTCCAAGCTTTCAGTTAGTAGCAGAGAACTTACCCATTTGCACTACCTAGGGAAATGTGGAGGAGGAGCTCTGGTAGCATAGTGGCTAAGGCACTTGACTGCTAACCAGAAGGCTGGCGGTTCAAACCCACCAGCCACTCCTCGGAAGGAAGGTTGGGCAATCCTACTTCCGTAGTGATACTGCCTCGGAAACCCAAGGAGGGGTCGCTATGAGTCGGGTCCGACTCGACGGCACATAACAACAACAACAACAACAGGGAAATGTGGTAATATCACTGCAAACTGTGGTCTTAAGAAGAATCAGGAAATTTCTAAGGGACATTCCAATCTATACTTAAAAAAAAAGAACACAAAAAGTATTCAACCCCTGGTGGCATAGTGCCTAAGGAATTTGACTGCTAACCAGAGGGCTGGGGGTTCAAACCCACCAGCCACTCCTCGGAAGGAAGACTGGGCAATCTACTTCCGTAGAGACTGACTCAGAAACCCAAGGAGGAGTCCCTATGAGTCGGAATCGACTGGACCTCAGTGAGGTGTTAACTTTATTTTATTTTTTTGTAACCTCTCCAAAATGATGTACCATATTGGAGTCTTCCAAATTACAATCTCTTACAGCCTCCACCAAAAAGATGTTTGCTCATTGAAGCTTTCTCAGAAAGTCAAGTCAGTACCTCTGTTCTATGTTGTTCTATGTTATAAGCAGTTAGCAATTATCACTGATCAGATTTTGTAATTACATTTATTCATGTGGCAATTTGGTTACTTTCATTTTTCTCCTAGGAGATTCTATCATTCCATAAAAGCAGAGACATTCTTTGTTTTGCTCATCATTCTATCTTCAAGCACACAGAATTGTACCTATTAGTTCAATAAATATTTGTGAATGAGTGGACACAATTACATTTAGAATCAGAATCATCCAATAGTATTTTTCAATGTCACAATTACAATTACATTTGGAATTAGATTCAACCAATAAAAACCAGGCCCCACTGCCATCTAGTCCATTCCAACTTATAGTGACCATATAAAACCAAAACCAAACTCACTGCCATGGAGTGGGATCTGACTGATAGCCACCTCTCCTTGGGTTTCCCAGTCAATCTCTCTAGGGAAGTAGATGGCCCAATCTTCCTTCCAAGGAATGGCTGGTGGGTTTGAACCGTCAGCATTTTGGTTAGCAGTCAAATGCCTTAGGCACTACACCACTGCCCCATAGGGTTTCTAAGGCTGTACATGTTATGGAAGCAGACTGCCTCATTTTTCTCCAGTGGTGCAGCTGGTGGGTTCTAACTGTCAATGTTTTGGTTAGCAGCCAAATGCTTTAACCACTACAACACCAAAGCTCCTTGATCATCCAATAGTAAGTCATGACCAGTAGACTTACATTTTAGTTCTAGAACCATGATTAATTTTCCCTGAGTCACTAGAAACAACTATCATAAAACTGGGACATTTCTACCTATCGGCACATCACGGATATGTTGCTAGAATCACGTGGGAGACAGAAGGTTAATTTCGCTTTGCTAAAGGAAGGTGCCTTAGAGACACCTGTCCGACCCAGGCCGTTCAGAGGAGCCATGGAGGCAAGTCCACGTCACCACGTTATATAAGTGGCCCGCCCGTCCGGTGTCCGCTGGAATCCCTGACCCTGCGTCACACAGCCGCCGCCCTGAGGGCGTCTAACAGTGCCTTGAACAGAAACGCTGCAGGGTGGGGCCTGCCCGAGGCTAGCTGCCAGAAACAGAAAGCAGCGGCTACTGCAACTGCTAGCAAGGCTGAGGCCGGAAGCCCCACCCGACGTCGCCGGCCACCACCTCCAGGTCGGTTCGAACGTGACCTTGTTTTGGCGTTGCTAGGAGACCCAGCTCCCGCGCGACCCCCACTGGCGGGCGCGGGGGTGACGCGCGCGAAGGGGGAGGGTCCGCGGCAGGCGAGGGGAGCGACTGGCGAGCACCGTTAGGGTGGCCTGGCGCGCGGCGCCCGTTTGGCGCTCCTGGAAGCGGGCGTCTAGTCCTCTGCCACCGCACTGGCTTCACTGGTGCCCGAGGGTACACAACAGCGCGCGTCGTAAGTGGCTGGGAGCGACGTTTGTTCTGGAAGATGTAAAGACGGTTAATCAGGTGAGTCTCAGCGGGGCGAGCAGCTGTGGGTGGCCACGCCTTGCCGTGGGAGCCATGCCGAGCCGGTGCCTCGGAATGAGGGGAAGGGGTCGGGTTGTGGAAAGGGTGGACCTGCCTTGGAGGGTGCTACAGACCGCATCTTTCATTCCTGAGAAGCCGCGCGTCCGCAGCTAGCGCCCTCCGGCCAGCGGACAAAGAGTTAACACGCCAGCAGTGACCGTGGGCCCCGGATGTGAGAGCCGCGGCGCGGCGTCCGTCGCCGCGTTGCAGGTGCGCCCTGGAGGGCGGACTGGCGGCGACCTGGGCCGTGGGGCTTCCTCCCTGGGACCCTTGTTTTCTAACTTGAGGGCAACAGGTGGTGCCTGTGGACCGCGAGAGAACCCGACTCTGCCGCTATGGGAGCGACAGTTAAGCTCACCAATTAGGGCTCCAGGGCGGGAGTTGTGTGGCCACCCTGGGGCAGGTGACCAATGGGATTTGGGATTATGGGTGGGCTGGGAAGAGGGGGCGTGGTCTAAATCTCAGGCCAAGGTTTCTAGTGTGACAATTGCCAGAGCTGTCTGAAGAGCTAAAGCCGAGTGGACATGTGTTGCTTTCCACCCGCATAGTAACGCCTGTTTGCCAATGCATTCTCATTTGGACACAGACTCCAATTCAGGAGGTGAGAGCGTTGTTACGTTTTTGGTTCTCAGGATGGAGTAATAATGACCTTGGTTATGCTTTGATCATGTGGAATTAGATCCCCAAGATAGGATCGTTTGTAGAGTTTTCTGCCAAAAGAGGTACTTCTGTGGTAACCGCGACTTCGACTAGATGCTGGTGACTAGGTTATCTCCGGAGTCAGGTCTTTAAGGTTTGGGGCCCCCAAAGACTATGAAAACTATGTGTTACTGTAGTTTCAGTGAGTATTACAGAATTTCAGTCACAATTATTTCATCGTTTGTCTTCGATTGCCTGCGTGTCATATCTGCTCTGGTTTGTTTACTAAATCAAGTTTTAGTCGTTAAGTTCCTCGTGTTGTTTATTTTAACAAAAATTGAGAAAAACCGTTGTAGTACATTGTTTCACAAAAATAATCATTCCCCTCCTCCCCCTTCCTCCAGCAGTCTTGTAGCTGGATCACCTAGGAAGAGAAGTTCAAAATCCTTACGAAGAAAGCGTTTCAACTTGGGATACTTATTTGCAGCTGGAAATGGGGAATGGACTGTCAGACCAGACTTCTATCCTGTCCAGCTTGCCTTCATTTCAGTCCTTCCACATTGTTATTCTAGGTTTGGACTGTGCTGGAAAGACTACCGTATTATACAGGCTGCAATTCAATGAATTTGTAAATACTGTACCTACCAAAGGATTTAACACTGAGAAAATAAAGGTAACTTTGGGAAATTCTAAAACAGTCACTTTTCACTTCTGGGATGTTGGTGGTCAGGAGAAATTAAGGCCCCTATGGAAATCATATACCAGATGCACGGATGGCATTGTATTTGTTGTGGACTCTGTTGATGTTGAAAGGATGGAAGAAGCCAAAACTGAACTTCATAAAATAACTAGGATATCAGAAAATCAAGGAGTTCCAGTACTTATAGTTGCTAACAAACAAGACCTAAGGAATTCATTGTCTCTCTCAGAAATCGAGAAATTGTTAGCTGTGGGTGAACTGAGCTCATCAACTCCTTGGCATTTGCAGCCTACCTGTGCAATCATAGGAGATGGACTAAAGGAAGGACTTGAGAAACTACATGATATGATAATTAAAAGAAGAAAAATGTTGCGACAACAGAAAAAGAAAAGATGAATACCAATACTCCTGTAACTGTGTGGAGTAGGTTTTCTCTGGCCAGATTTTGACAAATGGAAGAGAGTCTACAGCCTGGATTGCCTGCCTGCCCTCCTGGGTGCCGTTAAAGCTTTGTTTTGTTGAACAATCAGATGCCTAACTCTGTTGCCTTGTGGAAGATGAGTAAAAGCAGTGCTTCTTAAAGTGGTCTCTTTACTCCCTACCCCCAAGTCTTTTGGTACTACCATTTTTGGAAGCCAAGCAAGGATAGTAAATTGACCAGGAAACAGTTGTGGAAATTTGACCTGAAGTTAGTGAAATAAAACTTTGAAGAGTGTCTACCTAGTGTTGTGCTTATATCTTTTTTGGGGCATCCTTTGTAAGGAATTTGCATACAAGGCTTTGTAAATTTGAATGGAATGTTAAGATAGATTTATATATATATACACACACACACACACACACACACAGTTACATGGTTTACTAGTCTAGTCAGCCCTTTTTTTTTATGTAAGGCACAAGGAGGAGGCATTTGCTTTTTTAAGCTTTGGCCAAATGATTTTTTATCATTTTCTGGAATCAAATAATTTAATGCTATGTCTTAATTCTAGACAATGTTTAAGTTGGTTTAAGCTTAAAATAATCAAAATAAGGTATTGGGGGCATATTCAAGTGCATGGATTAGTTTTCCTGACAAAGCATGTTTTGGTGTGTAGTCTTTTACTTTTTAGAAATAACTATGCATCTTTTACACGGTCACCTTTTTTGAAGTTTAGGTATGTTGTAGAAATAGTTCACTGACAGAAGTGCTTTCACTTGAATAACCTAAAATTATTTACTTGACTTTCTTATATAGTAAATTTGGGCATGTAGATGCATATGCTTGGATACATGTATGGATTTATGAAGAAAGCAATTAATTGATCAATTCAATCAGAAGGATGACATTGTGATACGTTGTCTCCAAAATATTTAGAAATATTTGTTCTATTAATATTTGCTGGCTGAACACAGATGTGGTTATTCATATCATATTTTTGTAGTGTTTTGGAAGGAGCAAAAGCTTTATAAATGACACCTAACGCACTGTGGACTGAAAATGTAAAAACTGTCCTCTATGTGCTCTGAGCTTTAGTATTTTGTTTACAAACTGAACAGTGTTACGGGGGCAGTCCAGACCTGTTTGTAAGGAAAGGAGTGATTGAGTACTACAGATCAGAACTTCAGTTATAGAAAAAGAAGGGAAAATAGCAAAGCTCTGTTTACGAGAATTTGCTGGTGCTGTTTACATTGTAATAAATTATTATAATAAGGAAACACCTTTACAGATTCCTTATATATAGGCAAAAACTTCCACTGTATGCCATGTGACATTCAATGTAAGTCCATGTATTAACAAATCAGCATAATTTCTATATGTGAAGCCAACAGCTGTTTGTTCTGAAGATAACCCGAGGGAGGGGCCCACTTTGGTAGCAGGGTTTTGGTTTCTAGTTTTGTTTTTTTTTTTAGTGGCAGCTGAGTTTTTAGAAACTTGATTCTTGTTACAAACAAAATGAAGTAGCTTCCTGTGGAACTTTCATATGTTAAATGTACCTGTATTAGTGACAGTCACTTAGATTGTTTATATTTCTAGAAATGTGGATAACCTTACTACCAATAAACTCTACTTGAGGCACTAGGAGAACAGTGTTTGACTTTGAGTTTCAATGTATTTCCACTTCTGCTTAAGCTTTTAATTAGATGTGTAAAAACAACTTTGACAGCTGAGTTACATAAGTTCTATAGAGTTGGGTCTGTTCGGGTGTGACAGAGGCACTGAAAGCTATTTTCTGAGAGAACATTTTTTTTCAAAACCCTTCACTGATACTGGCCAAATGTGTATACGATCATTGTGTATATAATCATTGTGTATACTCAAAACATGACTAGATTTTTGATGGGTTAAAGCTTGCTGGGGGGGGAAAATATATATATATATATATATATATATATATATATATATATATATATATTTGAATCAATTTAGATTATCAGCCTGTCAAGGAGCTCTGGTGTTGTTGTGGATAAGGCACCTGACTGCTAACCGCAAGGTCAGCGGTTCAAAACCACCAGCTGCTCTGCGGAAGGAAGAGGAGGCAATCTACTTCTGTAAAAATTTACAGCCTTGGAAACCCAATGGGAGATGCTATGAGTTGGAAACGATTCGATGGCAGTGAGTTTGGTTTGGTTTGGTTTAGGCTTTCCATATACTTCCTGTATAAAATAGTGTTGTTTTAACTATCTCTTGATAATTTAAGGGTATTGACCCTTATTTTCTAGCCTAAGAATTTGATAATCAAATATATGGTATCTAAATTTTTTCATATTTAGTGAACAAAAAGAAAACAACATGAATACTATTAGTTTTTATTTCTAAAATACATTTTCAACTATGTAAGATTTTTCAGTTTGCTAAATTCACATTTCTCATCACCTATTATAGCTGTAAGATAGTAGGATATGAGGGAGTCTCAAGATAAATCTTGAATAGGCAATGCTCTTGTACCTAATTTTTTGTTGTTTAAAATATACTGTTTTTCCAAAAGCGTATTTCTGAAATACTTTTTTATATTTGAAGTTACTTGGTTTAATACCAAATATTAACTTTAACTTCAAATTGCTATCAAAGAACAAAGCTAAAAAAATGATACTTGATATTTAAAAAGATTTGATGGAAAGTTAAATATCCAGAGTTGTTCTAAAATGGATTATACCATTTAGGAAAAAAAAAAGTTGCATACTTTAAGTATCCAGCATAGGTTCATTAAGAATTAATCATAATAAAATGAACTTAAATCTTTGTTTAAGTTACTAGTATAAATGTATGTATGTATATATGTATGTATATGTAGAGATAATTATCTTGATGAGTGACAGCTTATGAATGGAGGGAACGGCATAAACTTAGAATATTTTTGTTCATACAAGGCATTTGATGCTAGAAATCTTTTCATTACAATATTCATGTTAACTTTGAAGGCGGTCTTTGGTAGTGGGATGTTTCAAGGTTCTATTCAATACAACATTGTCAACAGTAATATAAACTATAAGTGTTTTCATCAATGATAAGAAAGATATAAAATATGTAACTTTAGATGATGGAAAACTCAGCATTTAGCTGATACAACTTGAAGTCTTGAGTATACTGTTATCTGAGATAATAATTTTAAGTTTAACCCAATTAAGTTTAGCAGAACATTAAATGTTTAAAAGAACCAACTAAGAAAAGAAGGGTGACCAGATTTAGTTGCAAATCATATGGCAGTGATAGGTGAATAAAGCTTAATGTGGAACAATAGTATGCCAAATTAATAATCATTAAGTTAATATAAAAATATATGACAATAAGAGATAATATTCTTAATAAGCTATTGCTGGAGTATGTATCGAATTCTGTTCATGTGAGTTAGAAATGTAGGAATACCTATTTTACTCCTGATAAAATTAAAACTTTCAAGAATTTTGAGAGGATTGATGAAATAATGTGTATAAATTAGCACTAGGTATATGATAAGTTGGGAGCTTTGGTAGCATAGTGCCTAAGACACTTGACTGCTAACCAGGAGGCTGGCAGTTCAAACCCAACAGCCACTCCTTGGAAGGAAGGTTGGGCAATCTACTTCTGTAGTGATACTGCCTCAGAAACCCAAGGAGGGGTCACTATGAGTTGGGTCTGACTTGACAGTACGTAACAATAACAACAACATATGATAAGTCAATAAATGATACTGTTAACATGTATGAATCAGTATGTTTTGAGGAGCAGTATGGTATTGTTGTTAATGGTATGTAAACTCAAGTGAATCCTGGACCACTTAACTAGTTTCATCCTGGACAACTTATTTAATTACTCTCAGCCTTAGTTTCTTCACTTGTGATCTGAGGATTATATCTATAAATCCATAAAACTGATTTAAAGATTAAAACAAAGTATGATTTCTAACAGAGTGCCTGACACATAGTAAGCATTCAGTCAATAGTTGTTAATGTGTTAATAGCTAGGATATTTTCTGACAAATATATTTAAAGAAAAAACATTGGTGAGGAATATTACAGGAAAAGCTCTTGATTTGTTTTTCTTAGCATTTATGTAGCACAGCATGAAATGAGAGCTTAGTGGAACTTGGGAAAGACTGTTGCTAGCTGCCATTGAGCAGTCCCCTCATTGAGCAGCCCCTGACTCAGTTACCCCATGCACAATGGTACTATTGTACTGTTGTGATCTATAGAGTTATCATTGTCTGATTTTTGGAAGTAAATCACCAGACCTTTCTTCTTAGTATGTTTGGTCTGGAAGCTCCACTGAAACCCGTTAGCATCATAGTAGCACACAGTCTCCACTGATAGGCGGGTGATGACAAGAACTGCAGTGGCAGAAGTCGAACCCAGGTCTCCTACATGGAAGGTGTGAATTTTACCACTGACCGAATGCCCCGACTCCAATGGATTAGTTATATTAAGCAAGATTGTTTATAAACAAGTTTCAGTTGAAAATCCTGGGTTATTAATCAAAATAAACCCATTCCTTCTTTCTTGGGCCTTCTCTTACCTAGCTTTGTAATAAGGAAGAAATGAAAGAATGCCAAAACAGAAGTACTACATAGAGTCTTGTGCCCTACTGTTTCCCTTCCTGCTTGAAGACTAAATCAGGGAATGCAGATTAACCATTTGCAGTTGAGTCAATTCCAACTCATAGCAAGCCCACGTGATTCAGAGTAGACCTGTTTTCCATAGGGTTTTCAATGGCTAATTTTTGGGAAATAGATCACTAAGCCTTTTTTCTGAGTCAACTCTGGGTTCACTTGAATCCTCAACCTTTTGGGTAGCAGCTGAACATATTAGGTAATACTAAATTATCAATTCTAAATTATTGAAACTGGTATAGGTTAATTAACTGTCTTTCTCAAAAGGTGGTTCCTGGACCAAAAGCATCAGTGTTACTTAGGAACTTGTTAGAAATGCAAATACTCAGGCCCCAGGCCTAAGAAACAGAAACTCAGGGGATGTGTCCAGGAATCTGTATTCTCAAAAACTGCACTAAATAAAGGGTACAGCAGACAGATTCCAGCTTCATCACTAACTCTGTGTTGAGGATCAGCATGAATCCAATTCTCGAAGTGTGGAAATGGATCCAGTCCTTACCTTCCTTCTCCATTCCTGTTGCCAGCTACTCAAAAAGGTGTACTGTTTCTGTGACCCCAGCCACTGAGAGCTGGATCATAGCTCACAAGTTAAATGGACATCATTTTCAGATCAGCTGCCCATGCAGCATTTCTTGGACCTTAGCGACCCAGA